TATATATATATATATATATATATAATATAATTTTTGTAAAAATCATCAAATTAATATAAAATGTGTTTAAAGCTTATAACTCTTTCATAAAAATAGTAAAATACTTCAGTTTTACAAGTTGTGTGTTGTATAATTGTGTCGATATTACTTGTGCGATAAATATAAAAATAAAAGCGTTCAAATTTATTTGTATTGCTTTGCAATCTTTTGCTACGTTAAAGTAATAAATAATATGATAACTAAAACAAAAAATATTTTCTAAATGTTTAACATAACGGTTATGAGAATATAATGAGTAATATGTTTATAATAATTAAAAAAAGTAAAAGTAGCCGAAAGTAATAAATATTCCTTCTTAAGTATTACATTTTCTATATGTCAAGACAATATTTTGTAAATAGGTAACAATATTTAACAATAAATTTGTGTTATATAATGTTTTGTATTAATGTCGTTTTAGCGATAAAAATGCGAGCGCTTCATTTTTGCAAACATAACATATTTTACTTTCTAATTTCAATAACGAAAGTATTTAAACATTTAAAACAAGTATAATATTACTTGTATAATGTTACATGTAAATAATTATTCCTTATCAAGCACGGCAATTATCTTTTACTGTTTTAAATCCAATTTTACGAAGTTGCTTTTTTTGTTTCCTTTTTATGAGTCTTTATTAAATAATGATAATCAATATCGAGGACACCGCTTTCCGAGGATATCAGGCTATTATGAATTCCTGGTTATTCTCGAACGTAGGGTAGTTTCAAGGAACAATAATCAAGAAGTGTTGGTAAAAACAACCAATTTTAAAAAATTATTATTCTCCACATATATGTAAAGTTAATTTCTTCTAAAAACTAAAAAAAATAACTAAATAATATATTTTATAATATAAGATTTTTGTTTCATTAGCCTTGGATTATAACACGATCATGTAAACTTAATTTAGTGATAAAAATACAAACGTTTTATTCTTATAAACGTTTCACTTTTAATATATTCTACTTTCGGACTTCATTCAATGAAAGTATTTATAAGAATGTAAGTAATAATATTACTTGTACATATTACATATTAATAATTATTCAATATCAAGCATAGTGATTATCCTTTGCTGTTTTAAGAATGCTCTTTCTGTCTCGCCTTTAGTCCGAATCTACAATAGGTTTTTAAGCCTTATAGCCATAAGAAATGGACGAATCACAATCTTTTGTGATTATTCTCCTCGCATTCGACAGTAATTGGTCAATTTCTTACGGCTTAAGGCTTAAATCACCTATTGTAAATCCGGACTTACTCTCGGTTGATACCCAAGAAAACATAGTGCTTTTCGAAGATATCAGGCTATTATGAATTTCTGATTATTCTTAGACGTATCTAAGATAAGGTAACTTCAAAGAACGACATCAAACGAGCGATGAAGAATTGAGAGACAGTAAAAACAAGTTTCTTTTCAATTATTATAACCTTTATATATGTATATCGAGATAACTTATTGTAAAAAAGTAATAAATTAATATATTTTACAATACAAAATTTTCGTGCGTTTAACAACCTTGAATTATAACATTATCCTGTGAGTTTATTTTAGCAATAAAAATATAAATGTGTTTTACTTCTTCGAAGCCTGATAATCGATTGCTCCTCGAATCTGATCGATGTTGAGGTTGTCCTTTCCCGATAATATCAGGCTATCATGAACCTCTGGCCATTCTAACGCGTAGGGTAAGGAATGACACTTCTATAAGTATACATATGTATATGATATATCCTGCTGTCTGTAGGCTTCGTATCTTAAAAGTAATTTATTAGGGATACATAAAGAATAATGTACTGTAATGTATATCTTAAAGCTGTTACTTTTGATAATTTTGAAGATTCGAAGTTTTAAAAGAATTTAAATTTTTGAAATTATACCGTTAAATTATAATGTCATGTTATATCCAACTTGAATTATTTTTAATTATTTTCATAGATTGTTATACTGCTCAAACTTAATATGTCGTCAATTTAACTGAGAGAAACAATAAAGTTGAATAATTTAATTCAAGAAAATGTATCAAATTTATTATATTATTTACTAAGTGCATATATTAATATAAACATTATTTATTTTATACAGTGGCGAAAATAAAAAATGGAGCGTAAGTCGAATGTAAGGGAAGAATAACAGAAGCGTAAACAAAGTTTTTGTTACTCTCCACTTACATTTGATTCTTATTTTTGTCAGGATAATTAACCACAAAAATGGATTAATTTAGATTTTAACACACATAGAAGTTAAAAATAACAAATATAACAAAATGTTATTTTTTTAATTCAAGGGATTGAGTTACTATTGCTTCTTTGATATCTATAAAGTTTCGAATATTCGAAGTTTAAGATGCTTCAAAAACTTTGAATATTGATCACTCCTCGATAAGTGGACATCGAGGTTGAGGTTTTTCTCGAAGATATCAGGCTTTCATGAATCTCTAGCTATTCTAACGCATATGGGGCAAGGAACGACTCAGCGAAT